AGATAGATAGATAGATAGAACGGTGAGCACAGACTTTGATCGCCATGGAGGTTCATCTCCGTTGTCGACCTGACTGAATTAGAATCACCTCGATGTGTCTATGAGGGCGTTTCCAGGAGGTTTAACTGAGGAGGAAAGACCTGCCCTGAATGTGGACAGCAGCATCCTATGGGCTGGGGTCCTGGACTGAATAAAAAGGACCAATCAAGTGGAGAACCCGAATCCATGTCTCTGTTTCCTGACCACAGACCAGCTGCCTCCCATTCCTGTCGCCATGACTTCCCTGCCCTGACAGGCTCTACCCTCAAGCCTTGAGCCAAAATAAAGTCACTTGTGCCAAGTATTTTGTTACATGCCCATGCACAAGGGTTTGTGCACACAGACACATGCACCCGAACACATACAAACATATATGTACATATGCACAAAAGAATAATAAAAGGTAAGGAAGTGAGAACCCAGAAAATGATTTAAACCACCAGCCAAAGAAGTCCCAAGACCAGTCCAGCTAAAGGCGCCCACATTCTCCCCACTTCCTGAGGGACTCCAGGACCCAAGGGCAATACAGCATTCCCAGTGCTTATGGAGTTTGGCCAATGCTATGGTGAGAAACTTCAGGTCTTACTTGTGGCAAAGAAACTGTGGCCTTCTCCTGCTAAAGTGGTTTCTAGCCAGGCTTCCCCAGGGACAGTTTCAGCGTGGACATCTGATACATCACTTGCCAGTGGGGGCAGGCCTACTACCAATATAGTTTCTTCCTTAAAAAATGAAGAAGACGTTCTGAAATGGATATTCTCCAAGTTAAAAGTTCACTGATGAATTATAAGTTTGGGCGGCTCTACTCAAGGGTCTGTGGTTGTATCCCAAACTTTGCAGAAAACCGGTTCCCTTTTCTTGAGTTGTCAGGAGTCTCAGATTGGGCAACTGTGTGTCTGAGATTTCAACGCCACGAACTCATCCTGGATCTTCAGTGGGCACCTTCTGTCCTCTGCAGCTAGGAAAGTCCCAACTCAAGTGCATTTGAAACTGATGGCAGGGCAGCTGCCCAAAGCTTGTGTATTTACGTTCTTAATAATAAAGATAATTCAGTCTGATGACTGAATGTGAATGTGTCTTAAGCAGTTGTTTGGAAGCAGCTGGCATGCATGTACTTCTCAGGCAGAAAAACTACCTGAAAAGCCATTTGGAGACATCCGTGTGGTGGTCAAAGGTATCAGCAGCAACCAAAGACCCAAGAAGAGAAGAAATTTAGCAAGAGGTATTTAAACAAGGAAATGGGAGAGAAAAATGGGCCTGGAAGGGCGGCAAAGAGAAGCTAAGAAAGGTAGGGCAGAGAGGTGCTGGGATAGGGATAAGCCGAGGACCAATAAACCTGGTGACAAAGGCTTGATCTCAGCCTTGTCAGGAAGTAAATCTTCCTACTAACTTCAGTCTACTGAGATCACAGAGGTTTTCTGAGGGATGTCATATGAAAAGCAAAAGGACACCATGTTTCATGCGTGGCCCCTTGGGGTATGTACCAAGGGCTGTCCCACAGAACTGTCTGTGATGATGAGACACCATCCAATACGGTGATCTCTAGCCACGTGCTGCCTTGGAATGTTCACAGTGCAGACAATGCGAGGCACCATCCAATATGGTGATCTCTAGCCATGTGCTGCCTTGGAATGTTTGCAGTGCAGACAACGCAACTGGTAGTGATCCGAGCTCTTGCTTTTGTGAGAGTTTCAGTGACGCAGACAGCTACATGTGGCTAAGGACACCAGGCTGCCCCTCACTGGGGAAGGAGAGATGGCACAGATCCTAGGAGGAGTCTCAAGTCAGGGTGACCACCAGACCACAAAGCTCTTGGGACTGGACCACATCTAAAAGGAAGCTCAAGGCTTAAAATAGGAATGGAACTGGGGTGCTGAGAGGAAAGAACAGACTTCAGCCAAAGCCCTCTGAAGTAAGAGTTCAAAGAAATGCCAGGATGACCACAATGCTGCAGGAGTTGCTGCTGCTGATAGGGTCTTTACACAGGCAAACCAACGGTGCTAGTTTTGCTAACTCTATAATTAAGCAACTGGATGGCTGTTCGCATCTGGACACAGAAATGTCAAAGATGAATTCACAACACCAACAGTTGTGATCACAAGAAGAGGTGGTTAATAAATACACGAATTTCTGGGTGACCAAGAAAACATGATTTTCCAACACCCACAGACACCTCAGCTGAACCTTGTTGCTTCCCATGAGGTGGCAGAGGCTCAGAGTGGCTTCAAGGTAAATTCTTCAAACTCACCTAAGCCTCACCTGCCTTTCCATTGTGGCCACTTCAAGGGTGTGTCAACACAAGTCTGGTGTCATGAGAGTCATGGAATGCTCTTCCTTCCTTCCCTGTTGGGTCTGAGCCCCTCAAAGAAGCGTGTTGGACCCCTTCTAGGTTCTGCTACCACTATCTAACACAGGACCTGTCGTACATTAGAATGTATGATGCCATGCATTGTTTTCAACTGAGGACCCCCAGATTGCCAATCTCACGATCCAGAACTGTTCCTCAGCCTCTCCAGTGCATCCAGGTTACCAAGCCTTTCCTGTCCCAGGTTGACTGTCAGACGCAGAACTTACTTATACATTCATATTTGCCTCTCACAGGAGACATATTAGTTTATGCAGGTGAATACAGAGATAAGTCAAGCAGGCTACCTTAACTTCTTACATTATAATGTCCCTCGATTGATTGAAATTTTACAGCCAAGTATTATCAAACACTCTGGATTTGCCTTGTTCTAGAGTTTGATTTGGTATTATTTTGTTATAACAGCATGGGGATTTTGGCAGCAAAATATTATGACAAAGTCACCAAGATATTTGTTTTAGTAATTTCATAAAACAAGAGAACTAAGATGCTTTAAAACTGTGTGTTATGGGCTGGAGAAATGACTCAACGGTGCCTGCCGCCAAGCCTTAAGGTCTGAGTTTGATTCCCAAGACTCACACAGTAGGAGACAACTTGACTTTGACAAGCTGACCTCTCTCTCTCTCCCTCTCTTTCTCCCCCCTCCCTCCCTCTCTTTCTCATACTCACAGATAAACACACACCCCATAAAATGTAGTTTACAAATATGTGAATTACGTAAAGTTGTGGGGGGGGCAGGGGCGGGGCCGGGACCATAGCGACCCTGGACTCACCTTCCCGAAGCTGGCAGCATTGACGGGCTGAGTGTCATTCTTCTCACAGAAATCCAGGTAGTGCATGTAGAGGGCGCTGCGAGGGATGCAGACGCCCTCTGCAATCTCATAGTTTTCCTCCAACCTAGGGAAAGAAACACCCGTTAGAAAAGTAACAACAGCAGACTGTGTGGCTCCCCGAGCTTCCAGGCTGCGAAGGTCTCAGAAATGGCTCTCTTCCTCTGGGACAGAGTCTGGAGCCCAGCGAGTTGAGGAAAGCTGACTCAGGTCGCCCCTGAGCCAGTAGGTCCCTTTGTGTTTACTCCTGAGAATCAGGTCCCTTCAGACCTTTAGGGCTATGCTAGAGCTTGCAGGTGCCCTGCTCCTTCTACCATGCATCCACTTGGCAGTCATTTCTAACAGGGAGATGCCCGTGTGTGTGTGTGTGTGTGTGTGTGTGTGTGCGCACCCTGGAGCTTCTTGACTTGACAAGAATGGTAGAGAGGAAATGTCTAACACATGCCAAACAGAGGAGGTGCAGCTGGAAAGTCACTGGTCACTGAAAAGGAGACTTCATGATCATACTGGAGAGATGACCTCTGATATTGCTAGGGTCCCCGACTCTCTGCGGTACTAAAGTTGATGGTTCTACATCCCATACCTTCCTGATTGCAGGACATGGATTCTGCAGAAGAGAATGTCCACTTTCTCTCTCTCTCCTCTCCCTCCCCCTCTCCCTCTCTCCCCCCTCTATCTTTCCCTCCCCCCCTCCTGGTATGGTAACTGTGAGCAAATTATCTAACCTTGAATCTCATTTTCCCTTCAGAAGTGATGACTGATGACCCTTTTAGGGTGGTTGTTGATATCTAAACTAGTAATGTGTAGCGAGATTTATAAGTACTGCTCTTTTAGAGGACCTAGGTTTAGTTCCCAGCACCCACATGGTGGCTCACAACTGTAACTTCCATTCTGGGGGACCCGACAACCTCACACAGACATGCATGCAGGTAAAAGACCGATGCACATAAAAATAATAAATAAATTATCAAAAAGAATTATAAGTTCTGGACCCTCATGTCTTGTAAGTGACATTAGATTTCCTCAGGTTTTTTTTTCCCATAAGACACTTTTGGGGACCTATGTGTCCCAATTCTGTGATAGGCATTGAAGACACAGAATAAATTTAAATAATTTTTGAAGTTTTTTTAAAAAAATAATCTAAACACCAGAATTTAGGCATATAAATGGAATTCTGCCTCCACTGACATTGACCTGCCGGAGGGTTAGACATCCCTGCCAACAATGCTGTGACACATGACAATGTGGAGCCTGGCATGCTTACAGCTCAATAAACTCACCAGCAGGAAACATTTCTCTTTTGATGACTGGATTTTAAGAAACAACTCAAAAAAAAAAAAACTGAAATCAAATTTAGGGGACAAAGTGATGAACACCATTTTACCTACCGCCATTTTTATTTGTTTTGTTTTGTTTGTTTTTTGTTTTTGTTGTTATTTTGGTTTCAGCTAAAATAAGGCATGATTCTTAAGCAATGGAATAAATGTCGTCAAGCAGCTTTAAACTCACTGGAGGTCACTTGTCAGAGAAGTGGTCCAGCACTGTCGTAACTCATGTAGAATGAGGACGAGGCCTCCCAAGGTGCCCACTTGGAGGGGCTGGCACTGGTTCAGCTCATCCCAACATGACATTGAAAGAAAATCAGCTCAGTCATTTCATACCCAAGCCTCATATATGAATACAACCCCAGGGACTCGGGCAAATGGCAAAGCCAAGTGCTAAGGGGTCCCAGCCATTCCGTCCGCTGCCCTCCGATGGGATTGAGCAGTTCCTGCTGATTTTCATGTTCCAGTAAATACCTTATGCAATCCTTTCTAGGTGGCCAAATACCCTGGGGCTGCGGGGAGCATTCAGTCACCTCAGAATCCCCAAAGTCCCACATATTCTTTGGCATATGATAGGAACCTGATATTTGATGGATGGGTCATTTCAACCATTTCCTCATCCAATAAATAAGTATTGATCTTATCACTTGCCACGCACTGGGGTCATGTCATTGTGAGTAAAACGGTCCTTGATGGATATAATAAACAGATTCATGGTAAGCAGAAGGATGAAGATGAGATCTTTAATTCAACACTCCGGGCTACGCAGTGTTCCGAACATAAGAAAACAGAGATTAGCATAGCCTCTGTATAAGAATGATATGCAAATTCATGCAATGTTCCACATTAAAAAATAATTAATGGAAAAGTTGTGACCAAAATGAAGCTCTTCCACATCAGTGTGTGTGTCCTTGGTGTCACCAACTGGAACCCTGTGTTTCACGCAGGGAAACTAGGTTCATGGACAGTATAGGTTTCTTGGGCCTGCCCTGCACTTTGGGTCTGGGATGAATGAAAATCAGTCTTCAAATTTAGCCAAGATCCCTAACTGCCACTCACAGCATTGTTCCTCTGTAGAAGTGACATCAGAGACCCAGCTGAGGCTCAGACTTTACAGGGACCATGTAAGTAAGGCAGCTGTCACCAACAGGGGTCTCACAGGCATGCTTTGTTTAGCCTGAGCAGCATTGGCTCGGCTTTGAAACCCCTGGACTTCACACAGAAGAATCTGGATTCCTGGCTTCTTATGAAAAAGCCAAGGTCTGGCAACCCTGGACCCATATTCCCTCATGACAACAATTGGCCAGAGTAAGCTGTGCCCTGAGGTTGGCCAGAGTTCTCCCCCCTCCTTTTTCTTACACTAAGTCTATTTTCTGTTCCTTTCCTGGCTCCTGTGGGCACTTGCGTTGGCATAAGACATGACCTATGTCCTAGTTCACTTTGGAGTCTATTTGGGGAGAGTGACACACAAGAAATAATCTTTAAATACTATCAACTCCTGACCATAGAGGCGACTGAAGCAGACTGGTGTGTAGACGGGAGAGGGTAGTTATGGTTTCACAGAGGACTTGGGATTGAAGTTTTGTAACAGTAAACAACAGCTCACATTCACGGGACTCGTCCTAAGTGCAGGCCCTGGGCAGCCTGGGTTTTATTACATTCTCATGATAGTCACGTAAAAGCCAGGCATGTCGACACATGCCTGTAATCCTAGCACTCAGAAGGATGAAGTGGAAGGATCTGGGTTTGAGGTGAGCTTAAGCTATGTAGTGTGTCCAGGGATAGCCTGAGCTACATAGTGAGCACCTATGTCAACTGCAACAAAATCCAAATGAAGCAAAGCAAGCAAAACAAACAAAAACAACACACAAGGCAGGTATTATATCCATCTTTCAGATTGAGAATCCAAGGCTCAAAAGGTAGAATTCATTTGCTAATGTGACCAGTAGTAAGAGAATTCTCCTCACTAGAAACCACTGTAGTTGGAGGAGGCTCTTGACAAGAGGAACAACAGAGAACAACAGGTATGTCACGTGCTTTGAATGATGGGGATGTCTGTCTGGGTGGGAAGAGGGGCTTGTGGGGGAGAAGGAAAGGAGAGAATGGTGATGGTTGAGGAGAATCTTTAGATATGCAGAGGAGTGACTTAACAGACCCTCAAGGAGGTGCTACCTTAAAGAGCCCTTTCCAGAAGATGGTGAATAGCAGTCAAATGACTGAGGGATAAAGGGACTGCTCGTCAGCTTAGAGCACATGCTGCTCTTCTTTCAGAAGAGCTAAGTAAGTTCAGTTCTCAGCAACCATGGCAGGAGGCTCACCACCTTCTGTAAGTCCAGCTCTAGGCATCTGACACCCTCTCCCTACCTCTGCCTTCATTTATATCCATACGCCGTACACTTGCACAGACACACTGGTACACAGAATGTAATTAAAAAGAAAGAAGACTAAAAACCCCAAAGGCTTGTGGACCAGCTCAGTCAGTGATGTGCTTGCTGTAAAGCACAGGGAACTTTATCTAGTATAAAGCATGAGTTCAGATCCCAGCGTCCATGTTTCAAAACTGAGCACAGTAGTGTGTGCATGTAACCCAGTGCTGGGGATGCAATGACAGGAGGGACTGTGGGGCCAGGCCACCAGCATACCAGATTGGTGAGTTCCAAGTTCAGTGAGAGACTATGCCTCAAAATAATAAGGTGCAGAGCAACTGAAGAAGGTGGGTCAGAATATTCCATGTTGACCTCTAGCCTTTGCACCTGAACACACACACACACACACACGACTCAGAGGCAAGAAGACCTGATTACTTCTAGAATGCTCTATAAGTCACAATAATAATGCTGATGACAAAGGTTACAGACAGCAATGTAAAGCTTAATATGTTCTATTAGCCAATAACAAAGTATGAAAGAACATACACATGCACACACACACACACACATGCACACACACACATACACACATACACACACACTTACACATACACACACGCACACATGCACACACACATATACACACACATATACACATACACACACACACATACACACACACGCACACACACACACATACACGTACATACATATACACACACTTATATACACACTCATACACACATACACACACTCATATATACACTCATACACACACATACACATACATACACACATACACAAACATATACACACATACACACACTCATACACACACATACACACATACACACACATATACATATACACACACACACACCACATACACACACCACACACACACATAAACACATACACACACCACATACACACACGGAAAAAAGTAAACCCCACAAGTTCCATCATTAGACTTGAATGTTCCACTAAACAATTTCTTTAAATTAAAGGAAAAAAAGAAAAAGATTTTGACTTCATTGTTTCTAATGCAGGAGTTGGGCAGCCGGGACTTGTTAGAGAGAGGAAAGTGTCCCTTTGTACTAGCTGTGCCAACAATTGTCCTAAGTTTATTTTGGATAAATAATCCATGTATGCAGTGGGGAAATGTACTTTTCAAGCCATTTGTAATCTGTATGTGGGGGACTTTTAAATGACTTTTAAAGGGCAGGAGTGGCACAGTTAAAGGTGATTCTACCTCTGTGGTAGATGACCAAGGCTAACTAACAAACTTGGGTTAGCAGTAACTGTTGGATAAGTCAATGAGACAAGTTTGGAATCACTATACTAGTTCAGGCAAGAAGTACAGGGGCTAAACT